AGTGAGAATAAAAGATTACCAGGGAATAGGATTACTGGGAATGTTGTATTTTGTGTTTGGTTGGTTTAGCAGGAATGTAAGATTACCGTGTTTGGTTAAAGGAATAAAAGATTATTGGAATGTATATTTAACCAAATTGTCCTTATTATATATTTGTATAATATTACAAATTGTAAAATATTTATATATTTTCTTTAAAAAATTAAATTCATAATATTTATATACTTTTTTTTTACAAAATTAAAAATATAAAAAAGGTTTAATGAAAGGGTAAAAATTTTTTTAACCCCTGAACTTCATATAAAATTTTAATTATAGACTTTTTTTGTAAATCTAAAATAATTTAAGGATAAATTTATAATTTAACCTTCGTAGAATTTTTATTATTCAATGACAGAAGAAGGATATTTTTGAAAAAAAATAAAATTTTAAGGGCATTTTAGTCCAAAACGCCGGTAATGTTACAATACTTAAGGGAAGGGAGGTAATGACATTCCCGATAATATACCCCAAAAAATCTACTATTGGTAATAAAACATTACCGGGAATGAGATTCCCTGCAAACCAAACATGGGAATGTGGTGTGGGATTCCCATCCCATGGGAATCCCACAATCCTTGAACCAAACACCCCCTAGTGTACATTCTTCCCTCCCTTGTAGAGTGATAGAGAACAAGGGATCATCTTGCGTGTCGCTGCCTCCGTCGTCCGTCTGACTCAGCTCGCGGTCACGGTCATACTTGTCTTTGACACGTCCATGCGGTTACTATCTTTTTATAGAAAATTCGTGAGGAATTTTCTGAACAAATGAAAGATGTGGAATAATTTTATTTTGGTATTTATAGGTCGCACAGAAGTAATTACAAGAGTTACAAACAACTAAAAATTAAATCAGATTTATATATGATTTTTCCTTAAACGATTTTGTCCCTGGACTTAGCCTATAAACAGAGAGACTTTGTTAGCTTCTCAACTCACTCTCAATACTCACATATCCTCTCTCAAAGCTTTCTAAGCATTCTCTATTTTCCGGCGAAGAAGAGCAATACCTTCAGCAGTCCACCCTGATTTCGGATGTACGAAATCTCGAAGTGACCGTGGTAACCTCGGGGGACAATCCGCCTATTGTAGCGATTACACATATCGGGGAAAATTTGTTTTTAAGACAGTGATTTTATCACGACACGATTCTATTTATTCAATTATTTATTTTTATTATTTTGTTCAGTTAGTGCTAACGGTAAAATAACTTTTCTATAAATTACTATTCGATAAATTAATAACTTCTCTAAAATAATAACTTTTTCCAGTCTCAATTTGGGCCTAAAGTCTGAATTAATAATTTTTATAAATTAATAAGATAATAATTTTTCAGAAGACCCTTATATAAATTTATAGTCCCTTCAATATTAAAAATTAATGGTTGTCCCTTTTTTCCTATATGTATAGGGTAAGGGGGAGGTAAGATAGTAGGGCCCCCCAACACCAAATTGAGAGCAGCTTCCGTAGGAGACCTCCGAATTATGAAATGCCTCCGTGGGACTCGATCTCACGACCTCAAAGTTAAGAACCTTGTGCTCTACCAACTGAGCTGGATGGTCATTTCAATATTAAAAATTAATAATTCTATAAAATTACAAATATAACTAGGACAATTTAGTAAAATATGATTATATTGTTGTATGATTCTTAAAATTTAAATCTAACTATATTTCATCTCTAACTTTCTTTACTATGCATGAACTTGCATTAAGTTTTAACTACTACTACATATTAAAATAAACTTTTTTTAGGAGTATGTATTATATTTAATTAGTCACAATGTTCATGAACATCATTCAATTAGTTAATATAATGTATATTTTTTATCCATGAAGAACAATACATATTCATTAAATTTAAAAAAAAATCTCTTTAACTTAATAAATTATCAATTTATCAATTAATTAATACATCTTTAAATTAATAAAATTAGGTAGTGCCGACATTACAAAACTAGCAAAAGCTCAAAAAAGAAGACAACCAATTTAAGTAAATCTCAAATACAAACAACAAATTAATAATTGGGTAAAGTGCACAAATGGTCCCCTAATTATAGGATACTATTTTCTTGAGTTCTCTGACTATTAAAAGTTACAAAATAGTCATCGACTATTGATTATGTTCCAAACTAGTCTTTTTTCGTTAAAAAAGTGACAGCAATCTGAGTTGGACGTACCGAGATATGATAAAATATGATCTCATAATCTTAAACGACTATCATATTTCAATTAGCATGCTAACATCAAACTCAGACGACCGTTAATTTTTTAACGGAAAATGACGAGTTTGGAATATAATGAATAATCAAGTGATCATTTTGTAACTTTTAATAGTTGAGGGACTCAACAAAGCAACTTTCTATAGTCGATGACCATTTTATAACTTTTAATAGTCGAGAAACTCAACAAAATAGTATCATATAATCGGAGGATCATTTATGTACTTTACCCTTAATAATTATGGTGAAAAGGGATTAAAATTAAAGATATTCAAGCATCTACTACTTGATTGCCTCGTACTTTCTTCTTTTAATTTGTTTTCATGTATAAATGATCGATTAAGTTTTGCTTTTCATCTTCGAATAGACAACAACTTTAAGGGATGAGTGGGGGTGCAGTTAGGGTGCCACTCGAATTCGACGGGTTCCAATCGGATAGGGTCGAGTTTTTCTAAACAAAATTGGGTTTGGATCGGGTTTATGGTGAAAAATACTCGACCCGATCCGACCTTAATAAAATATATAATTTTATTTTATATATTTATGAATAATTACAATAATACTCCTCTACATATAATTTTTTTCAATTAAGTCACTATTTTTATTAAATAAAAATAATATTTTATTATTATTTCGGGTCGGATTTCTAAATTATATGTCGGATCGAATTCGGATTAGGTGAAATTTTATTTTGATCGGGTCGAATCTCGGGTGGATGATCCTTTATTCTCGAGTCGGATAGACCAAAAACCCGATCCGACCATACCCATCCCTAGGTCCAATTCTTGTAGTCATCTTTTTTGTTTTCTGTGTTCTTTATTGTGTTTGGATCTGTAATAGCATTTAAATGTGCAAATAAGAAAGGTAATCAGCGGGAAGTTCCACAGTGACACCTTTAATGTAAGGTTAAAATAAGGTGTTACCGATTTTGTTATTATTTAAATAATAAAATTGATAAAAAATTACTTAAAATATTATTATTTATACTTAAAACATTAATGTTTTTTAACATTTTCGGTAAAGTACTCAATAATAATAAAATCGATAGAAAAAATAATAAAATCGGTAGTACTTTGCGAAAACCGGTAAAGTGCCCAATAATAACAAAACCAATAGAAATAATAATTTTTCTGGTAATTTTTTACCGGTTTTTTTATTTATACAAAACCAGTAGCTCCTTATTTTAGCCGTATATTAAAGTTGACGCACATGATCATTTCCCGGTGATCAGCAGGAGGAAGATGGAGTTAAAGTTTGTCTTCATATAAAAATAAATGTCTAAACTATACCTTTTTTTTCTAAAGTAGTGTTTAATTTTTTTTTGTCAATCCAAATGTCTAACGTTACAAACGTTATTACTTTAGGTACATCGTCCGTAATGGTCGTTAAAAGCCTCGTTAAGTGACACGTGTCACGTTATGATAATTTTAAAAATTTTATTTTAAATAAAAATACATTTTTTAAAAAATCCCCCAAAATTTCAAAAAACTTAAAATAAACCCCAAAACTTTGAAAACTCTAATTTCAACCCCTAAAACCACACCGCACTCCACCCTTTATCGCCGCCGAACCTCCACCCGACAAACTATAACCCCATGAAAATCCATTGGTACATGAGCCAATCGACGCAACCCCCCGATGAATCCCGACGCTGCAAGTTGCGACCCCACGTGATCTCGACGACCAATCGATAGCAAGGATGACGATACCTGACTAGTGAGATGGAAAGGATAACATCGACGATGGTCGTTGTGGCCAGCAAGGAGGACATCAGTGGGTTAGGGTTAAGGATAGGGATTTGGATTTTTTTTTAAAATTTAAGAGAAATTATATATATTTTTAAATATAATAATATTTTTAATTCTTTTAAAAAATAAATTTTTTAAAATTACCATAACATGACACATGACACTTAATAGAATTTTTTAACGGTTGTTACTGTCGGGGCACCTAAAGTGGTAATGTTTGTAACATTAGGCACTTAGATTGACCGAAAAATGTTTAGGCACCACTTTAATAAAAATGGTATAATTTGGATACTTATTTTATATTAAACCTTGAAGTTTTGGAAGAAGCTGGCGACCAAGTAGATGAATGTGTATATGCATGTTATGATACATTTATCTCTCGTGTTGTGTATTTCTTTTTGTTGTTTTATGTACATGAAGCTTAAGAACACCAACACACAGTCAATGGTGAATGTTGAGGGAGCCACATCAACATTCCATTACTACAGTAATGACTGTTAACGATGAGTAACCGATTTGTTATAAATCGATAACATTAGTAACTGATTTGCTACTTTTGATACTTTCAGTAAAGAAAAAAAACTTAATCAAATATTAATGACTATTTATGTAGTTTACCCTTTTTTAGTCAATAAGCCAGTCGAGCGAATCGCAGGTCGCAGCTTAAATATCTGTTGTAAGTCAGAAAAGTAATTACAGAGAGAAGACTGACCAGCCTTGCAGCGACAGAACGGTAAGCAATAGTTTTCTTTTCTGAATTGCTCTTTGCTTCGGTACAATCAAATTTGGTTTATAGTTTTCTTTATTTACTGGGTTCTCTGGAGAGGATCTTCTTCTGAATTTAGTTGGGATATGCATTGTTTGCCTTTGTTTCTACTCTCTTTGCAATATTTTCTTATTTTTAACTTGGGATGCTATCTTTAGTAAGCAGATTGGATTTTTTTTTATTAATTTAGGTCTTGCTTTTTCTTCTGATTCTCAGAGTGCGTCATCTTTTAAGCTGTAAAGTGAGCGCTCATATTTTAGCTCCAGGAATTCATGGCTGATTTCAACAATTCGGGATCAAACAAAAGAAGACGGCCTCGCAGGAAAGCGGATGTAATTACTCTCTTTTCTTCTTTTTCAAGATTTCTTTTGCCCACATAAGCCAATCCACTACTTAATTCCTTACTTTTTTTCTTCAAATTCTCAGAGCGACCAGCAGGAGGCTTCCAATGAACTACCGCAGCAAAATAAAGATGCAGCTCTTCGTGAAAGGAAGAATGTAACTACTATCTTTATTTCTTTATTGCAAATGTTTCCTTTTCAATCAACTACATGTTATTTTTTAAAAAAAAATTTAATCATTTCTTCTTCTTTTGTTGCTCTCCGTATGCAGAATTGCTGGATTTCAGTGGAAAATTTAGTATGTAATTTCACGGGTGATAACATTATTAGGACGACGGTAATGTTTTTCTCTCTGCTCTGTAGTTTTTCAAAAAAAATATTTTCAGTGAACTTTAACTAAATATCTACTTTAAATTTATCATGCAGAATTTATGGGATGGAAGGAAAGTGCTAATAGAAAAGGCGAATAAGTTGCTGAATGACCCACTATTCATTCTGCAAAAGTTGAGAAATTCGATAGAGCCAAGTATTATGGAGAATACAAGGGTTAAAACGTTATTGCAAGAGGTTGAATTGACTTTGAAGCTGTCAAAGAATACAGTTCCAGTTCAGGACTCTACTGATGAGATTAATTCAAAGTCAAAGAATCCAGTTCCAATTCAAGACTATACTGATGGGATTAATGATTTAGGTACGATCTTTGAGGAGCTATTACATGTTGATTAATGACATTTCATTTGATAATGGTATTGATGACAGTAGCAAATGTTGTATTTGGATCAAAAGTGTTGATGACAGTAGCAAATGTTGATTAATGACATTTCATTAGATAATGGTATTGATTTATAAAATCACGTATTTACTATTCATCAAATATGAATATGTTTTTACATAATCCCTCAGTATTTCGTTGTATGCTGATGTTGATACATAACCATCTAAATTATAATTTTCTATTGCTTGTGTGCTTCTTTTATGTTTTTAGATAAAGGCATACAAATGACAAGGGAGGAGCTGCAATTCCTTAGTGAGCAAATTAAGCAGGCAATACTGATTGCCTTGTCTTCCTGTTTCCTTTTTTTGCCTTGGTAAATTGTTATTAACTTTTATTTTCCTATCCAGGAAAATGCCATTGGTGACCTTAAGATGCAATCACTGATGGCTGCAAGGACCTTTGTCACAGTTTCACGAATGCTGAGTAAAGTGGAGAAATCTTGCTGTATAACGATGTCTGAAATGATGAGCACTGAAAATCCTGTTCAAGAACAATTTTTACAAAGAGAGGATAAACAGTTAGTACTCCAATTTCGTCCAGCCCCTGACTCTATCCAAACAAACCAAAGTGGGAAAACTGACGATGTTCACAACTCAGAGGTACAGAATGTTGAGATGCTACATAATATTATCTATCATTTTGAAGGATAATAATACTCTAGTTTAGAACTTTTTATTTACGGTCCATCTAGACGTTTCTAAAATTAACTTACGAGTCTCATCGATCAACAAATAGTTTTGCTCATTTATTGTTTTCCTTTCTTTATTGAGCATTTACTAGAACAAGAGTTGAACCACAAGCTGGAGGCAGCTAAAATTTTCAAATTAGGTGTAAAAAAATATGAAATTTCATTAAACTTGTTATATGTAGTACCTATCACAAGACATGAACTTTTACATGTATGATTATGTGCCCATTTGTGTGATATCATGTGAACTTTACATGTAATGATTACATATAGCAAAAGGAGTGATATGCCTTACTATAACACCATTTTAAATAATATAGGAGAAATAATCAATGGAAATTTGAAAGCTAAATGGACAATTAGTGGAGGCACTCATGTCATGTTTAAATTTCAGGAGGCCTCCGATTTAATCAATTAAGTATTAGGTTTTACAGTTGTAACTTATGCAACAAGTCATGCCTGTTTCATGATTTTTGTAGTTGGCAGGTTTTTTATCTTTATTTATGTTATAAATAGGAGCAAAATATTAGGGAGTTTTATTTGTCAAGGAAACTTGAATCCAGATTTGTGTAGGGAACATCTCTTCTTTCTTAAAGAGATATACAATCAAGGTGATTAAGTATTTAATAATCAGCAACATATCCCAATTAAGGATAATTGATTTGGTCATCCTTTGAGATTTTGATTGATCTGATCTGTGACCATTGAAGTTGTCTCCTTGAAGTCTATATGTTGGAGCTTTGAATGCTCTATATTATAGAGCTGAGAGAGCATAAAATTGTTCCTTGTGAGGAACATCATATTGAGTGGAAAAGATCTATTCATTACTGCAATAGAGTTTATGTATCAGTCTTTCATTGGAAAGGTTGGTTGGTTGACTGACGAGAGTTCGTTCTAAATGTATGAAAGGCTACAATAATTGAGAGATTAGTTGAGCTTAAATAATTGTTTTCATTGATATTTACTAGTGGAATTCTTCTTTGGGCAAGGGCAACAGATGTATGTTAAGTCTGAACTGGATAAATATTTCTTGTTTTCTTCTTTCTGTTTTGCTCTTTACTTGTTACAGCTCTAGTTGCAACTTACTTTACAGCAAGTAGTCATAACAACAAAAAACCAGGTTGCACTTTCACACAAGTCTGTAAATTAGTTTAATAATCATATCATCAAGTTTAAATAAAAAGTAATAGACTTGTTAACTTTGGCATAACCTTTTTTTCTTAGTAATTTGTTTAAACAATCTTAAAGAGGTGAACATCCAGTAATTACTCTGCCCCCTGTTAGGTTCACTTTTTTTTCCTTTGCTACTCATCTTTAATATTCTATATATTTCGAATGTAGATGATCAATCAAGAGGAACTAGTGGTGGAAGTGGATTCCCTAGCATTTGTGGGAGTGAGACCAGAGAAGTTGATACTGAAAATGCAAAGAGACCAAAAGATGGTAAGAACTGAATTTTGAGTTCTGCAGAGCAAGTTATGACCCTTGTATCACCTGAGAATGCAATCATGCATTGTCCACTAATTTTTATTCTATTATTTTCATGAATGATGCAAAAAATGAGTTTAATCTTCAGTTATAATTATAAATGCTCGTCAACCCGTTAAAGTTTTAATTCCTCTCTTATTCCAACTGACATATACGTGGAAGTTGTCGTTCTTTTAATTTCTGTGATGAGCAAACCATAAACTGATATATATCATGTTATGATGTGCCAGTTTGAGATTTAATTCTACTCATTTACTGCCCTCGCCTTAAACTATACCAGGATGCTTCGTTGGGATCAATCGATCCTGAATATTTGGACAAAATTTTATCGAATGATGTGCCAGGTAATGGCTTCTAGTTACTACTTAATGATATGGTTTTTAGTGTTTCATTTTTTGTTCATCATATATAATGATACGTAGAGATCGAATCCCCAACTATCTTTTATGTCTGAGATACTGCTCATTTTATAGTGAAAGTTTGGTCTCTTAGGCCAAATGTTCTTGAATTATCTTGCAACAATTTTAGTTGTCTTGTATAATACTTGTGTTCTTTACTTGTAAATTGTACATATTTTATGCTTATGTCTTCCGTACTAATAACTTTGTTTTATATATCGGAGTGAAGGTTCCAGTGATGCAAAACAAATGAAGTCAACATGAATCTGTTTTCTTGTGAGAGCTTCACGGTCAGTTCTATGGTCCGAAGCTACAACGTTCATAAACACAATGTTATATTGCTCAAGCAGATATTTCAAGAGAATCCTAACATTGACAAAGCGTTCAAATTTAAGAATCCATATTTTCAGAGTGTCTTCATGAACACAATTGCCGAATCCTATCATAGTATAAAAAGTAATCCAAGGATTTTTGGGGCAAGAGACATCAAAAATATGGATGAAATGGTGAAAGACATGGAGTTTACTGGTTTGGAACTTACATGGCTAAAGAATATGTTGACAGCGACCACTCAAATGTTGAGGAAGAGATTGCAGGAAGAGCAAATGAGAGTGCAGGAAGAGCAAATGAGAGTGCAGGAAGAGCTTCGCCATCTAGATCTAGTTGAGTTGGATTACGACTGAAGATACCACCACTTGAGTCATTCTTCTTTTTCGTTAGGTAATTCAAAATCTTAATGTTGTTGTTTTTTTCCCTATTTTGTTAAGGTTTGTAGTTTTGGGTTGCCCTCCCGGTTCGGAGGGACTTTGTCCTGACTAATCTGAACATTAAGATTTGATGGGTGAGTCTTCCGGTGACTTTGTTAAGGTTTGTATTTGAGTAACGAGTCCAATACTTTTGATATTTTTGGAATTTAAAGTTATCTTGTGTGTAACCATAAGGTATTATAATCAAGAGTTTAATAATTTTTTGTTGTCTTTATGATTTCAAGGCTTTGCCTTCAGTCGTATACCTGGCTTTAGTAGGTGAGTCTTTCAGTAAGATTTTTTGAATACACAAGAACTTGAACTTGAGATCTTATTTAAGCGATATCAAACCGCTTACAATTGAACCAAGCCATGTAGGTTAGAGTTTAATAGCCTATTGATAGATTACATGATTCTTGAAATTCATGATCAAAGCATGATTGCACGGTGATCCTTTCTGCATCTTACTTTTTGTCTACTCTCCCTTATATACATGGAAGCTATTTATTGGTTCAATCGTTGTTCCCCCCCCCCCCCTTAATGACTATATCATCCTTCGGGCTGAACAATCAGTTAGATTGGTGTAAAAATATTGAACTGATCAAACTGATTTTTATTTTTTAAGAGTAAATTGCATCATATGTCCTCAAAATATGACTCTCATTTTAAATATTCTAATTTTATCCCAAAACTATGTATCATTTTAAATTAGTCCTTAAACTTTTAAACTTTCTAATTTCATCCCTAATCTTTCAATTTCATCCCTAAATTATTAACAATATTAACATTTATGTGTTGTTTTTAAAATACAATATAAGGTTTTCATGTACTTAAGGTTCAGGTTCGGGTTCGAGTTTGAACTTCAACCGAGTTAAGTTTAAGATTTTTTTTTCGAGCTTCAATTCATGATTTTGAGTTTGAGTCAAACTTGAAAAGTTAGGCTTGTGAGTTTTTAAGCCGAATCGAGCTCCATTTTAAAGTTTCTGAGTCGAGTCAAACTCAACAATACTCAAGCTCGACTAGGCTCATTTATATCCCTGATTTTGATTTTGATGGATAGTATTTTGGGTTTGAATAGTAAATTAAAGTTCATTAAAATTAAGTCAAAACCAAAATCGATCAAATAGAATTAAAAAGTCGAATTGAGTCAATTTAATTGATTTAATTAGTGCATCAATGGCATGGAGGAGTCGAGATCACTGGAGGAGCCGAGACCCTCGGAGAAGACCAGGAGTAGCAGTTTTTGTCGACAATGTTAGCAAAAGAATCCATACTTCTGCACTTAAGGAAGCTTTCCAAGGTTATGGGGTTGTTTTCGATGTGTTCATTGCTTACAGGAATGTGAAAAGATCGATTAAACCATGGGTGGTGCTAAAAGATGTGCCCATATAGGTTTGGAATGATAACTTGTTTCTAACACTAGGTAACCGGTGGGGAAAGGCACTAAGGGTTGATGATGAGACATCCAAGCGAGACAAATCGACGAAGCACGGATTTGATTGTGGCTCAGAAGGAATCGATCATTCCAGATAGAATGACTATAATTCTCAACGGCAGACCTCACTTGATTAAGCTTCGAAAATGTAATCACCATATATTTACCCAACCTTATTATTATTATTAAATAAAAAGAAACTACTAAATATATTTATATATATATGTAAATCCAACATTAATAGCCAATACAAATCAAGCCTTAACCCATTACAAGCAAAAACCAAATTACAACCCAAATTAAACCAAATCCCACAACCCAATGAAAGCCCACATGAGGACCCAACACATCTAGGGTTTCCTCATGTTCCAGCCAGTCGCATCATCCCTGCCTTTAGATCTGAAATTGATCAAACGACCCAGATTAATCACCAACTAGGGGTTTACCCTTAGTTTCGGTCGCCATGCATCATGGATAGTCAGATCCAATGGTCCATATTGAGGAAAATTAGGATTTCAACCTATTGAAACACAGCCGCTGCACCAAGCCCGAATTTCAGCCGCACCGTTGTCGAAGTCGTCGGCTCCAAACTGAGCCGGGACGTATCGCAAAAAATCTGGACGCATTCAATGCGATCCATGTGCGACTGGACTACCTGTACGAGCCTCGTCAAATCACCAGTGGTCCCAACGCCTTCACTTTGCCACGACAGCCTCGACAATGCCAGATCGACCATCGTTTGCCTCGTCACCGATCATGCCAACAAAGATCAAAATATTAGTGGTCAAAAAAGAAATAAAAAATTATAAAAAAGTTCTTCCTTTTTATTTTTCATCCATCCATGTAATCGGGATATAAAACCTGAACAGAAAACAAATGTAAAAGAGAGATTTTCGGATAGACCAAGAAAAATCAAAGCAATAGAAAGTGGAGAGTTATTTCTCCTCTTGTTTTTCCCTTTTTTCGTTTTTATGTATGCATCGATATGGGTCTTTCGAAAAAAAAGTGAGAGGGGGAATAGAAGGTAGTCTGCTTACCTTAGTGGAGGGGTTGAGCTTTAGCCTTTTTTTAGTTCTCGGTTTAGTTTTTTTTTATGAAAGGGAGAGGTTTTGGTTCTTCCATAAAGGAGGTTTGGAGCGACGATCACCATTGGTGGTGGCCGAAGAGTGGAGAAACGTCAATCTACGGTAGTGGTTAAGGCCATGGCATTTTCAGCCGAAAATGGGGAGAGATTAGAAACAAAGAATAAGGGGTTTGGTTCGTTTGACTAGCCTATTCGGTTACCCTTGTCACAGTCGACATTTGGAAGGGGAGATGACCACCGGTATTCGGCGACCGGCGTGGTCTTGGGGTTTTTGAAGCGGCGACCAGCGTGAGAGGGAGAAGAAAAGGTTGAGAGGATGTTAAATGGGGGGGGGGGGGAAGGTTATTTTTTGAGGGTTAGAGTAAAAGTTTACCTGAAATAGAAAAGAACTAAATTTTATGTTAAAGTTTAAGGAGTAATCACGTTAAGGTCCCCATTTGTTTATCGTTTTTTACATTTTGGTCATCATGTCCTTTTTTTAATTTATTTCGAATTATATGTACTGATTTGGTGATTGTGCACTTTATTTTCACTGTGTGTTTAACTTTTTTATTGCATTAACATTTGATTCGATCTTGCAGTGACACGATCCGGAGTATGACCCGCATTGTTATGGTATGGGCTCTATTAATATATAACAACTGAATTTTTTAACTTCTAACCGCTAATTTTTATTTTTTATGTTCGAATTAATGGTATGAATTCGCGATAACCGGTCTTAGGGTATGACTCACGTTATTTAGGGTCTGGGTTAAATATTAAAGTCACCCCTAACATTTTATTTTCTTGCATTTTTCTTTATTTTAATTCTATTATTTCATTTTTATGCTCCTTTTAATTTTTGCCTTCTATTTTTTTATTTTATTTCAGTCCTTAAAATTGCATTACTTTAATTTTCTGCCATTTATTTATAGTAGTTTAATTCCAATCCTTTAATTATTGCACCCCATCTTATGTTTATTTTATTTCCTCCCTTTGAATCTATATACCCCTGCTTCATATTCTTCTCACATTTGATGCCTTATTCAATTATCTTACATTTTGGTCCTAATGTTATTTATGGCCTTATTCAATTTAAGCACCTATATTATATGATATTTATTTTCTATTTTTTGCTTTTGTTATGTTTATATTTTCACCATTAAAGTTGAAGTTTTTATTATTATTATTTAGCATGCTTGATTAAATCTGTTTAGTATTTCTTCACCATTTCTTGCATATTTAGGTTCTAGAATTGTTAAATGTATACATGCCCACCTTAGTTAACCTCCCACATTAAATATGATGTAATATATCCCTTAATTTATTGTGATCAAATATATCATTTTACGTACGTTCGTTAAATATTATGTAAGTACGTTTGTTAGTACATATAGGTATAGACATTTTAAATATGTATGTTACCATCATAAGCATAACTTCGACCGACTCTATAATTGGATTAAAAACAATATTTATTTATTTTAAAATATTTAGAAATGGTTGTCTTAAGGTAATTAAATGTCCTATTTTGATTTTTTAAATAAATAAATATCCTATTAATGAAACCTAAAAATTAAGTAAATTTAAAATTAATCAGGGCAAAAGAGAAAATGAAATGTTTTTTTATTTAAACTTATCGAGACAATTATTATAATTCATATTAGGGACTTGGCCTTGATCTTTTTAAATAGATGAACGTCCCTTATCTCTTCTAGGATAGATAATTTGGACTAATTAACTTAAATTTTTATTTATTTTTGGTCTGATCAAATTACTTAAATTGAGTTCTTATGAGAAATTATTATATTCTTTTTGTTTCAGTTGCAAAGAGAAATACTCGTCTAAAGTATTTTAGGGATTATTTTCTCTTCGATTGAAAATAATGGAATAACTTCTCTTTTTCCTTAAAATTTTCGTCAATAAAATTGTGTGAATGTGTCTGAAATAAGAGGATCATAATTTAAATTTATATTTGAATTCTTAGACTTATGTTATTAGAGACAAATTATAATCGATAGGTACCAATTTTGGACGATGTGTGGTGCTTATCATTCCCCACACACAATTGACTTCTGACCTTTTTTTTTAAAAAAAAGAATGAATTCCTAGTTAGACTGGTCTTATCTTTTAAAATGATGTTTTCTTTAAACCTCTTTTAAAAAGGTGATTACCCAAAAAGTTGATGGCGACTCCAAAATATCTTTTTTAAAAATACCAAATTTTCAAAAATAGTCGAGGCTCGTTCCAAGCTTAAGGACCATTCCGATAGCTTGACGACTCCACTGGGGACACTAGAGGGTCAAACCTTAAATCGATTTTATATTGTCTCCATATCTAGAAATTGGGAATTCAATTTTATTTAATTTATGATTCTTTTAATTCCTTTCAAGTTTTTATTATATTATGTATTTTTCATACATATTGATGTTTGCATTTGATGTTCTCAGATATTGAGATGTTTTTGGAATATTTTAAATGGAGGTTTTATGTGTGGTTGTTTGTCAAAAGTTTGAGAATTTCTCCTTACACACGACACGTGCATTTGCATAACATAATCCTATACCCGAGATCTTTCCCTTATTAAGTGATAGCGAAAGCGATATCTTCGTGAGAATTTAT